GTGGTTATGCGAGAGAAGACCTTGAAAGAAGAAAGGGATAAAATCACAAACAAACATTAATACTGCTTGAGGCATACACATCAATATTGATTGCTCCCATTTTCCCAACAGACATTTTATTCTCTGGTCTGACTCTTATTTGATTTGAGTTACTTGGTTTTTAATTGAAGAAAAATACTTCAAACTAAAATAATGAAGGAAAATAGAGAATAAGAGTGTAGACAAGAGAGATTTAATAAATTTTTAAGTTTTTTTTTTTAATAATTTTTCAAGTTAGAAAGGAAAAAAAGGAAGATATATACTCTTCACACTCAAATTTAGTTCTTTCAAAATTGAGAAAATATAGAAAGAAAATAAATTTTAAAATTATATATATTTTAAGACTTGCTCTTATAAACTTTAAAATGTCATAAAGGGAGCATAAGTTAGTAGAGATAATTATTTAATGAAATAAATTTTAAATAAAAGTTAATTTCGAAATAAATTTATATAAATAACATTAGTGTAATTTTTTTTTAACAATTTATCACATAAAGGTGGAGATGATTTACATTAGGATTACAAATTACTATGCTAGTATGAAAAAAATATTATCAGTAAATCCTAAATCCTAAATCCTATGTAAACTCTGGTGGTTTAGGTATTCGATCTTGGAAGCTAAGCTTTCATTATGAAGATTTGCATTAAGCGTCATGACTTCTGGGTACAAGTTATATAAATGTGGTTATGAGACTTTGCTAGTGACGAAGAACGTGAATAAAGCTTGGGTACGATCTTCGCTAGAGCCCTCTCCCTATGAGCTTGGATTAAACTAAATTCAGATGGTTGTAACTTGAGATCTAAAATGGCTTCTTGTAGGTATCCTTCGTGACCCTATAAAGAAGTTTTTATTGCTGCCCATTCTGCTTTACTAAGAAACATCTCTATTATGCAATCTAAACTTTGGGAATTCTACATGTAATTAAACTGGCTAGGTGTAGAGGACTCCAAGAAGTTGATTCTTGAATTAGACTCTATATGAATGCCATAAAACCCTTCTGTCACAAGAAAAATAAGTAACTTAACAAGCAATTAGATTTATTAGTTTTGTATACTATGAAGAGTGACATCAAGCATTTATAAGAGCAACTCTTAAAATAAATAATTTTTTTCATGTGACGATGTTATCATTTTCTTTCATAATAATTACTTTATAGCTGATATTGTTGGCATCCACAAAACTTAACAGCCACATAAAAACAATCGTTTAATTCCTTATTCACTTTACAGTTACAATAGGTTCATTCTAGAAATTAAATATATTCATAGGGCACATATTTATTTTTAGTTGGAGAATAAATAAAGGGATATTTTGTATGTATTTGCCATCGACAATGCCTTTTCTTTTTGCAATCAAAGATAGAAGAGAAGGCATAGAAACTAGTTTTCCACGCAGAACTAGACAACGAAATGTCACAAGTAAAAAATGGATCCAAAATCCAACCACCACAGAATGTAAAAGATGCTTCTGGATTCAATGTAAAGTTTCTTTCAGCGACTTCTGGATCACATTGAAGTACCAACTGATCTTTGTTCATATCATAACCTGGAATATCATCAGCTAAACGGTTTTCAAAAGAAAGTGTATACCTTCGTGCACCCAAACAACTCCAATCCGATGCATATGTCATCTGGGAAAATAACATTAGTGTCATAATAATTTGCATTATATTGTTTGTGGAAATGTGAGTAATAGCTTTGTCTACCAGTCTTCCTTTCATTAGTGCCATGAATAGGAATCTTCAGCTTAGTTATATTCATAGTATAGCCTTAAATAGCTTAAAAAACAAAACTCCAATAATGAAATTTAATTTGTTTTGCGTTTCATAAACTTCATTTATTGTTTAGAAAACTAACACTCAAGATATTACGTTGAAAAAGGAGATGTAAGAATGATTCTATTTGAACTTAGAGAGTGAATATTAATAATTCTTAACCTAACTGCTTTCTAATTTATATTTTTTAGAGCGATTACACGTGGTAACTATTTTTTAAAATTATAAAAACGATTTTACGTATCAACTACTTTTTTAAATACTATTCTTTTAAGAATACTTACTAAATAACTGCTTTTTAAGTTAGCTTTAGAGAGCGGTTCCATGAACCTGCTTTCATACTAAAGAGCATTTTAGCTTTAACCATTTTTGTAGTATGTTACACAAAGCAATTTTTATTAATTACTATCCAAGTTAATGCTACTAAAACTCATTTTTTATATAGTGAAACCATAGAAATTTAAGAATTGAAATAATTTATGAGATTGCAAATTAAACATTCTTAAAATAATATTATTGCATAGAAAATATTAATAATTAAATTTTAAAGATATATAATTTAAGAAAAAAATAAGTAATAGCATTAATTGTATATCAATTTTAAGGTTAAAAAGATATTTAAGTGAATACATGCTAGGACTTTTCTTACTTGTAATTGACTTTTAAATTTAATTTTTTCTGTTTTTAAAAATATCATTTCTTGTCCTACCGCAATTCGATTGTATCACTCATGCTAAGTGTAATTATGATTTCAACTATATAATAAAAAAAAATTTCAATATATAATCAATTAATTATGGTTACAAAATTGATGGAATTGCTTTTTTTTTTTTTTTTTTGTTAAGTACTATTTGTTATGGCAATTATTCTGACAGTCAACCTACTTATGTAACATCACTATTAACATCAGCATTGTGTTAATTTTACAAGAAATTGGCTCATAAATCATACACTTTCATGACAATCATACTATATTCAACTTCTTTAGAATACTTGTTCATAGTGTAAAGCACTAATAAAGTCCAACCAAACAATTATACTTGTTAAACTGTATACAATGAAGTACATGTCTTCACTTAGTGGTAAGTTGTGATTAGGTTGTGAGAGACTATTAGCCATGTATATTTCTTTTTGGTATTTTAGTTATTTGCTTTTATAATTTCGCCAATTTTAGGTTGTTAAAATTGTTATTATTATTTTTAGTCCTTATATTGTTTTTCTTTTTCCTTTTTCCATAAAAGTATAAACTTACTTAAAGTAGAAGCAATCATTAAATGTGAATTGGCTTCTTCGTCCCATATGCTTCAATTTACTTTGAAATTTTGCCATATAAATTTTACTTCGAAGACTACAAGAGCAAAAACCTTAGCAACCCAAAGAGTATGCGAGTGAAACCATTCTCAAGTTATTAATTGTGATTAAATGATGACCTTGAGGCAAAAGTTAAAGCTCACGCTGAATAGTTAAAAAAAAAATAAAAGTAAGTGATACAAATGATTCACCAACTCTATGAAAAATCGTAGTATTACACACACACTCTAATTCCAACTAGTAATATAGGCCTTTCTTGCGGTGGCTCTGTCCCTCTATAGGTATATACTCATATGGTATGTACTTGTTTTTAGTTGGAGAATAAAGAAGGGGACGATCTTTATGTATTTGCCATTTGCACAGCCTTATCTTTTTGCAATCGTAACCCATTCTGAAGGCATTGAATTGCCTCTGCCAAGTAGAATTAGATAATCTAACTATGCAATTATGTGGTCGATCTATAATCCATCCACCACAAAACTTGTAAGATATTTTTGGATTCACAAGAAACTCCCTATCTGGAACAATATCAGTGCTCATGTCACATATGATAAACAACTTATGTTTATTCATGTCGTAACCTTCATCATCATCACTCAGTCGATTTTCAATAGAAAGTGTGTAGTGTGGTACTCCAAAACACAGCCAATTCCATGCACCTGTTTCCTGACAAAACAATATTAGGGTTAAAATAGTTTTTACTACAATGTTTCTTCGAATGTGAGCAATGACTTTGCCAGTCGATCTTTCTTTGGTTGGTGCCATGGGTTGGTTTCTAAACTTTGTTATGCATGTTTACAGTATGTGCCTTAAATAGTTGAAAGTGGGAGTCGTTATAATAGAGAAAAAAAGAAACTCCTAAGATGAAATTTATTTATTTTTTTGCGTTAAACAAACTCGACTAATTATTTATAACTGAAGTTCAAAACCACAAATTCAAATATTGAAATCAAATTCATGGATTATTTTTTAAAAAATTAATACGTTGAGGAATATAAATAAAAACTCAAAAGTATACAAGTTAAATAAAAGGAATATGTAGAAGAGAAATTGTAAAGATAAAAAAAAATTATTTCAAGTGTCGTTTAGTTTGAAAGAAAGGAATGATAATTCTGTTGTCTTATTTGATTGTAGAGAAATATGGTCGGAAGGAAAATTTTAATTTATATGTTGACATGATTAGCCTTCATTAAGGTAATATAATACACAACATTAAATATTAATTACCACCTATATCTTTAACAACGATAATAATATAATTTCATTAAAGGTAATATTTAAAATTATATTTTTTATTATAATAAAATAATAAAAATATCAACATTGTTTATTTTTTTTATTTATAATGGTTCTTTAAATTTTAAAATATATAATACATAAAATTATTAGTTAAGAATAAAAACAATACTCACTCAATAATGATTGAGGATAATTTCCATATTAATTATAATTAATAATAAAAAAAATTAATAAAAGTGATGTTGATATTTTTAATATATTATAACCTTATTCATTTTTTTTGTGTGTGCAAATTCATTGTATTGCAAATATAATTAAAAACATCAAATTAATCAATTCAAACTCTCTTATCTTATTAAACTAAAACGGAAGTTAGTATCATACTCTTTTAAAAATAATTTTTATATTTAAAAAATCAAATTTAGTGCTTAAAATTTGTAAAATCTTTTATATGTTTTAATCGTGTTATCTGGATTAGTACATGATAGTTTTTTTTTATAATTAATATTATTTAATATTAAATTTTAATTAAAAAATTATTAATTATATCTTTTTTGAAAATATGTAAAAAAATATTATTTAATAATATAAGAAAAGGTAAATATGAAAAAGAGAGAGAGAGAGAGAGAGAGAGAGAGAGAGAGAGAGAGAGATGAGAGGGGTGATTTAGGAAACCCAGAGAGAATGTGATGGGAAGTATTTGAAGTGAGGGCAACGGCGCTGTGATGTTTTGCTGAGGCATTGCGAGATCGGAAAAAAGAGGGTGAGAGATCAGATGAGTTCCGCTGGTAAACCCTTCTTCTTTCTCTTTCACTCTCTGTTTCAATCTCAAACCCTATGCCCTCTTCCTTTTTCGCTACCCCATTTACAATCCTCACGCGCATGCAAATTTCTCTGTCTTTTACACACTTTATTAAATATATAATTATATATAAAAAAACCATTTTTGTTATCGCACACACTTTTTTATTAGATTTTTATTGTAGTGGTCGACTAGATAGATGCTGAGGACCCAATCCTCAAGGGGCAAAAAACCCTAATTCGTAATGGTTATGTGCTTTTAGATGGTTCTGTCATATCGTTTGTCCATTTTTCTTTTGTGGGTATAAGATGGAGTTGCTTTGGATCACAATTTAGGTTTCGTGTTTCAGATACAGTCAATGGGAGTTCTGACGAGTCTGTCAAAGAAACTGTTCCAGGGTCAAGCCTGGAACCAAAACAAGAAGATGCTGGTGAGGTTTTGGGATTTGTTGATTTTTTCTTTCCTTCTGTTATGGAGGTTAGCTATAAACTTGTTAGTATATTCCTTGTTTTGCTAGAAATAAAAGCTCAAGTTGATGCAATGTGGGGACAAATGAATAAAGGAGTATCTAATAAGGTCCTCAACAGATTTACGAGCAAGCCTAGTTCCACTGCAAAAAAAGCTGCAAAGAAGACATCTTCTGTAAGACCTTGCTGTTGCTTTCTTCTGAGCCATCTCTAGATGAAACTCTTTGCTATTATTAGCATGTGTTTAATTTCCTTTAACCTGATAACCTTGAATGTAGAATTGGATGTCTTATTTGGGGTTGGCACCCAAGGCAACTGAATCTCTGGGGCAAGAAGCTTCGCAGAATGGACCTGGTGTGCTGCAGAGCAGTACAAGTGATGAAGCCAAAAAGCTTGCTGCTGCTGCTCTTGCAGCTGTGAAAGATGATGCTGCCAATTCTACCACAGGCAGGGGGAAACTTGTGGTGAGCACATTGTTATCTTGTTTTCCTTTTTTTGTCATGTGCTAATCTGGCTGAATGGGGAATTTTTGTTCAATTAGCCAAAAGGAAGAGGAACGTGTGTGTGTGAGTATGCATGCTTTGAGATAATATTTTTGTTTTCAAATTCAATATGTGGACATGCCTGAATCGTATATAGTAATACTTTAACATAGGTGCTGTTTGTATGCAGCTGTTTCAATATTTGATTTACTAGGGGTGCCTATTGTTAAGCCCAGCACCAATTTGAGCATATCATACAGAAATAATTTTCCATTTGAAAATTTTAAATGCTTCTGATTCCAACCTGATTGATGACTGATCAATCACCACACCTACGGGGCATTTGACTGTCAATGTTTGTTCACTTGTTTCCTTTATCAGATTACTGAGGTTCGGGACTTTGCTGGTCAAGAAATTGAATATAAAAAGCTCATAGATTCTGACTCAAAGGAAGCAATGGAAAGAGCGAAAGCTCCTGCTCCTTCGGCTGTGGACGCTGTCCTTGAACAAATTAAGAAGAAACAGAAGCTCAGTGTACTTGATAAGACCAAAAAGGACTGGGGAGAATTTAAGGAAGAGAATAAGGGACTGGAAGATGAACTTGATGCTTATAAGAAGAGTTCTAACCAGTATTTGGACAAGGTTTCCTTCTTACAGCGAGCAGATTACCGGGAATTTGAGAGAGAGAGAGATGCACGATTGGCTTTGCAAGCCAGGAAGCGACCAGATATGCAAGAGGACCCATATGACTGAAGGTAATTGAAGGTTGGTGTTACTACTTTCGGAGAACTATGTATGGTTTTGTGATGTGTTGATTATCCAAGTGCTATAATCTCTGGGAAGGTCTTGGTCTCTCACAGGTAAAACCTTCGATCAAATTTGTGGAGTATGATGCATTTTATAAGGATTGAGAATTGGAATGCTTTTAAATGACATGCTGCTTGATATGGAAGGGGAAAATAGTGATTAGAGAGAAACAGATGTAAACTTTTGGAGTGACTTTACTCAAAGAACAAGAAATTCTCTACTCACTGAAGGTAGTTTCAAAGAACGCATTCCTCGATAGATTTGCACTTAGGGTCAGATTTACAGTGGATTATGGGGAGCATATGCCTCCACTCACTTTCAAATTTTTTTTAATCTAGTGTAGTATTAAGTTATTATTTGTCTTATTAACTTCAACTTTGTCCTTATTGATTTATTTCTGTATAGTGAAATATCTGGGTCTGAGATTATAGTTACTATACATGCTTTTTGGTTTAAGAAACTACAATGGTCTCTGCCTTGTTTGTGATGCATAAGGACACCATCCAATATATGGTAGTTTTAAGTAGAACATAATCTTACCAATAAAATGGTTGCATGCCCATTAACACCAAAGGAGAAATTTACCAATCCATGTGATGTGAAAACAATAACTAGTGTGTTAGTCAACAGCTTGGTATGGATAAGGAGGCATGATTACAGCAATCGTTCATGCATGGTGAATTTATGCATAAAACATGCACTTGTCAGTGTTCAATACACTCAAAGTCTCGCACATGTGCTACCTTTATTGAGCAGGTTGTTGGAGCATTGTGTTAGGGTTTTCTTTTCGGTCCTCCTAGGGTACATATTCCTTTTTTTAAAAAAAAATATAGAAATATCCATCTGTGTATGGTTACTTTTCCCCTAATTTAAAATTTATTAAAATTTAAAATAAAGAAAAAGTTACCAAATAAGAGAATGTACCCGCTAGAGAGTAGCCAACTACAGTAGTATTGAAAATTTACTTGTGTTGGGGCTTGCCAACTTGGAGGTGATTGAAGTGCGTCTACATGGAATTCACTTTTCCTCTAAGTCAAGACAAAGCATGATTTTCTTGCAAAACAACTCAATTTCGTTCTAATTTGAACCAGATGATATCGTATTGACACCTAGTTCTCTACTTTTCCTCTACCAAAGCTACTCTTTACCAAAAATCCTCTCCTTTTGCTACTGCAGATTCTTTAAAGCAATTCTTGTACGTAGTTTGTGGCTTCCGTGGCACCAAAACTTACCCTACAGTGACGCATTCCATGTAGTACTTGGAGACTTTTAACGACAACCGTAGAAAAAAATATTATTGTAAGAGTACAATACTTGTCAATAAACTGATCACAAATTCAAGATAACAACATGCTTGATTGTCTTGTGTTATTTTAATGCTTTTTCCGTTTCTAATATTTTGTTGTTTGTGCCTTTGTGTCATACTCACGCAAGAATTACAGCTAATGAGAAGAATTGGGTAGATAAAAAAATTATAGATCACTACAAAGTGTTAATCAGAACCTCCCATTAAGTTGTTTCACCCTGTCAGAATTACCGTATTGTTCCAGAGAGAAGGGGAGATATATATTTTATTCAACAAGGTTAAAAACAACACGATCATTGCTCTTATTAGCAAAGAAGTACACAAAAGACTAATTTGTACTTGAAAACCTGAATCTAAATTTAACACACAGATGGTATCATCTCCAAGTCATTGTAAAATCCTTGGACAAAAATGAAAATGAGAATAAAGAAGCAACCGGCTCTTCAAATGTGAATGGGCTTGTCAAAAGTGGCCATTGCAGCTTCTTTCACAGCCTCGCTCATTGTCGGATGTGCATGGCACACGCGTGCGATGTCCTCACTTGATGCATCATACTGCAATGCTATTGCTGCTTCATGAATGAGCTCTCCTGCATTGGGTGCCATAATATGCACTCCCAATATTTTGTCTGTCTCCTTCTCAGCCAATATCTTCACCAGTCCTTCTGCATTATCGATTGCCTTAGCCCTGCTATTAGCCAGGAAAGGGAACTTGCCGACACGGTAATCAACTCCCAGTTCCTTCACCTGCTCCTCTGTCTTCCCAACAGATGCAACCTCAGGGTGTGTATAGACAACACCTGGGACTTTGTCATAGTCCACATGGCCAACCTTACCAGCTATGTACTCAACACAAGCAACCCCATCTTCTTCTGCCTTGTGTGCCAACATCGGGCCAGGAATGACATCTCCAATTGCATAAACACCAGAGACATTTGTGGCAAATCTTTCATTTACCAAAATTCGTCCTATCTTGTCAGTTTCAACTCCTATCTTTTCTAACCCAAGTCCAGCAGTGAAGGGAGTCCTACCAGCAGATACAAGGACAACATCTGCTTCAAGTGTAGTCTGATCACCACCAGCTGATGGTTCAATGGTTAGCTTCACACCATCCCCAGAACTATCAACCCCAACCACCTTAGTCTTCAGCTTGAATTTCATCCCTTGCTTCTCAAGAGAACGCTGAAACTGCTTCCGCACTTCCCCATCCATGGTTGGAACAATATCTGGTGCGAACTCAACAACTGTTACCTCAGAGCCAAGCCGGCCCCATACTGAACCCATTTCTAGGCCAATGTAGCCTGCCCCAATGACTACAAGTCTCTTGGGAATTTCAGTCAAAGCAAGAGCCCCAGTTGATGATACAATTTTCTTCTCATCAATAGTGACACCAGGCAGAGATTTCACATCTGAACCAGTGGCAATTATAATATGCTTGCCTTTCACCACAGTATTTCCACCTTCAAGGCTGTCCACAGAGACCTCAGATGGTGAAACAAATTTGCCATATCCTTTGACATAGTTTACCTTGTTTTTCTTGAATAGACCTTCAATACCCCGGGTTAGATTAGAAACAGCCTTATCTTTTTGGGCCATCATGGCGGCCAAATCAACCTCAACAGACGAAAACTTGACCCCATGGTTGGCAAATGCATGTTTAGCCTCATGGTACATGTGGGAGGAATGCAAAAGAGCCTGAACCAAAAATATGGAAGTACAACAAATGAGTGCATGGGTCTCTAGAATATTATATCCACTATCTTCTCAAACTATAAATGGAAGCACAACAAAGCAGCACAACAACAACAAAAACCAGAGCTTTTTCCCACTAGGTGGAGCCGCTATATGGATCAAATAAACACCGTTAATTCAAAGAGGCCATTTGGTTTATATATGGGATCATATTCCTTTAAAAATACACAATGAAGGTTAATATAGAAAATTTATAGATAAGAAAGAAGGCAAAAAAGTCCCTCAGCCAGCTGATATTCGGTTGAGACCTTAATTCTGATCTTGTAAATCAAACCAACTCATTGAAACAAGGAGAAAAATGTGTAAAACCCAAATTAAAAAACAATGCAGGAGAAACAAAAAATGTGCTTACACTTGCACACAATTCCGAGATAGAAGAAGGCCAACAAAAACACCAAATAGAAATGAAAACCAATGATCAAGCACTCAACCACTTTCTCTAACAAGCACCGCATCATGATAAAATAACCTCTCCTCAGAGTCCCATAAATCGGAAATAACAAAAATCCACTTCCCTCTACTCCACCTTAATCCACAACGAAAACCACATCATCATGCAAATTTACAATTTCAGTGTCTTATATTTTATCTTATCACTTCCGAAAACAAAAAATAACAAGCAACAGAAACGACACAGAATCTAAACAGAAAATTCCCAATCCCACACACGCAGAAGGAAGAAAAAAAAGGAAATTCAAAGATGGGAATCGACAAAAGAACGAACCTTGGAAGGGATGCAGCCAACGTTGAGGCATGTACCGCCGAGGGCGCCACGCTTCTCGATGCAAGTCGTCTTCAGACCAAACTGTGCGGCTTTAATGGCGGCGACGTAGCCGCCGGGACCACCACCGACGACGACGACGTCGTTTTCATCAGATCCAGAGGAGAATCCTCTGGACCTTCCCACTAAGAATGAGTATCTGAGAGTTTCCGATGAAAGAACAGCGTAACCCTTCCGTCGAGCCAAGTTCGCCATAGCCATATTTGGATTCGATTTGATTTGAGTTCACCACTCTCTCCTTTCCCAATACCTAACAGTTTACTATTATACTCAGACACACCACAATATTCTTATTTTTCATTATTAATAAATAATTGGTCTTATGTCTTGATTCCTTCTCGGCCCTTAGATCGTCGCTGATTCACTCGTAGCCCTCCATTGTGGTTCATATATATATATATATATATATATATATATATTATTTTCTTTTTGTTTTAATTCTATTTGGGTTTTGGTTCTCTTACTTGCAAATTCAATCTTTACTTTGGACCGTTGGTATTGTTTATGATAATGTTTGCTATAATATATACTACTTTTTGGACGAACAAGGAGTTGGAGTCAAATTAGGTAGGGACATTTATTAAATATGATAAAAACAACCGAGAGATCAAAATTATATTAATTTGTATTTTTCACTTTACTAAAAAAATTTTGGCGTTTTTTTAAATATTTGAAAATCTAAATAAAAACTATATTAATTATGCTTTTAGAAAAAAAATAGAAACTAATTGTGTTCAATCATGTGGAAGGGGCTTGAATCCCTTGAGCAATTGGTCTTGAGTTTAATATTGACATTTATGCATATCAAAAGAAAATATTGTGGGACAAATCTTCATCTTGTTCTGACATTTTTTGAAATATTAGTTCATTGTTTATTGGGTGAGAATAACTTCTAGAAGATCAAAATAAAATATTAAAAAATGACTGGCATTAAATTTTTTTAAAATTATTTTTAGAGTAAATTTTAAAAAAACTGCCTCTTTAAATAAATAAATAAATTCTTTGAAAGTCCATGTTCTTAATTCTCTTGCACTCTATTGTTGTCGTTATTATTAAACAAGAATGGTAAGAAGTTCCTTGGAAAGTTTTTTTTCTGCAAATTAAATGTGTTTCTCCACCAAATCATAGTTAAACATGTTTAGATTTTTAATGAAGAGTTCATTGGAGGCAAATAAATAAACGTAATAAGAGTAATACCCTTATTTGTGAAACATCCATTAATCGTTACAACAAAAAGTAAGCTAAGAATTGCTAAGGAAAGATATTGCATGACTCTTTCTTTCGAATATATTTTTTATTATGTAATACAAATTCAAGGATGATAAAAGTTTTGATAGAAATGTAAACAGTCTAAGCGTTACACTCAATGGTTGATAAGTTTTCTATTTAGCAAACTAAACAAAAAGTAGAGAGTTTGTACCACGGTTGATATGGTCATGAAATTGAAGTTTGATGATTACAATAGGTGGAAATTTATATTTTTGTTCAACATATTTGAGGAGAAACAACTGCCAGTTATTTAGGATCTGAAAAGTGGAGGGCCTCTCGTTGCATTTGATACTCGGCAAATTTCGCTGGTCATACGTTTGCATTTTTAAGATAACGAAATAACGGCCTTACACACCTTACCAAAGCCTCAATATTTGGTTGGACAAGGGCAACTAACACTTTCTGAAGACAACAAATTCCACTTCCCTCCTTCCCAAAGACAAAAAAGTCGTTTGTACTATAGTTACAATTTTTTTATTAAAAAAATTCATATTAAAACATATATCAGGATAAAAAAACTAATGCTGAAACTTTGCTAAACAGACACAAAATATATGAAAACAATATTTCATTGAGATTCCCTTTTCACATTGAAAAAAAAAAAAGATAACCGAGAAATTCATCACAAACAAAAAGCAATAAGTTTCTCAGAAAATGTTTTGTGAATATATAAAATATGCGAAATAGAAATTACATGTGATATAAAGCAAAAGGCAGAAAACAGGAGATAATAAAAATTATATATACCACATCCGGTGTTAAATTTTAATAGTCAAATAATGCCGATGGATGATATTTCCCCATGACATAGGCACATTGATAAGATGGACCAAGCATATCCATTGTCCATAAAGGCAAGAGGAACCCGAGAACAATAAAGAATGTCCAAACAAGAAAAATGAGGTAATCAAACGTGAACTCAACTATTCGATGTCTCAGGCGAACCGCCATTGAATCAAATATACCATAAAATTTGAAATGAGTATTAAATCCTGGTGGCATGCATGCATCCCCAGAGAAATGCTGGGAAAGCCAAAATCATTTCTATTTACAGAAGCAAGAACAACGTAAAATCGGAAAGGCCGTGCTGGGGACAGGATCTAATCCGCAAAAATTAGCTACAATTGTCTCTACATAATCCAAAAAAACGCTTCCCAATTAAATAGCTCTAAGCCCCCTCTACACCTCACCAAATATCCCCCTTTATATCCCTACAAAACTGCTGGCTGCTTTTTTCTAACTCTGAAACAGCCAAAAAAAACAGATTAATCTTTTAATGAGAAGAACATTTATGAATCACAAGAATTGCATTTACAGTCAATTTCCCTCTATCAAGCTCTTCAGTCTATTACGAGCCTCTTCAGACAAAATACAAGCTTTGAATCTTCGCCTTTGGGGCAGACATGATTCAACAATGCTTTCAACAGGGGACAAGCATATAACAATCACTGTGAGATTGTCTGATGTATGTAGGCGCAATGCTTCCTTGACAAGTTCTCTGGCACATTGCTGTGGGTCATCATGCCTTCTTAATCCTCGGCGAACAAGACTAACTGCAACTTGACTAGACATTACATCCCAAATCCCATCACAACCAATGATCAAGAACTCATCAGCCTCTGTCAATGTAACCAGTTGAACATCTGGCTCAGCAATAAGAGGGGATGCAGCACCAAGTGGAAATTTCAAGTCCCAATCCCCAAGGGCACGAGTTACTGAAAGATAACCATTGAGATATCCACCATCAATGAATCCACCTAACTCCTCCACTCTCCTGCTTTCTGGTAAATAACTTGGCCTGTGATCATGTGACATGTCAACAGCCACACCTCTCCTGCAAAGAACTGCTCGACAGTCACCGGCATTAGCAACAAGCAAATGTCTTCCAAGTACAAGGGCAGTCAATGCAGTGGTCCCACATGAACTACTAACACTTTGTTCATCAGCCAAGGCAAGGTCTGCACGTAAAAAAGCTCTTCGATGGGAATCCTCCAACTTCTTTAGAAAAACTTCATCAGTTTCATATGACTGCAGCATGTTTGCATCTTCAAAAAATAGTCTCATAGCATTCCTCTTAACAAAAGCAGCTGCATCAGGCCCTCCGTGACCATCAAAAACAGCATAAAACGCACTTGGTATTGGGTACTTGAACACAAATCCAAGGTGGGCAGCTAGATTATCTATCCGAATGTGTTCATCATCCATAGATACCCGCGGTCCAATTTCAGCATAGCTACCAGAACGCACGTTTGGGACAAAATTCATTGCAGGGGTCTCCAAAATGGACTCTTTAATGATCTCTGAGCAACTCACCGCCTAACATACAAAACAGAGGTCAGCACATCAAGACTAAAGCAATCAACTCAAAATAGAGAAGGAAAAACAGACATAACACAAGCCTGATCTTTATGATAAGCTATTTCGACTAATATCATCTGGGCGATAATTTCATCATTGTTTTTCCTTCCTCTTTAATGATGTTGTGTGTTGGGGACAGGTGAAGATATACAGCATTCAGCATACACAGTAAGCAGCCTAGGTTACAGGCAATAAACAAATACCATATTCTAGCACCAAAACTCAGATTATCAATCTCAGCGAACACTAGGAGTATTGAATCTTCTTCACATTTATCAAAGATACAGCATCAAATTCATAAAACCGGATACAGATTTTGAAAATAAACCAAGGCAATTCAGTTAAATCCATACTCATTGATGCACAATCACACAAAAAAAGAGCCCACCAATTTAACCAAAAAGGATAAAGGAAGAACAAATTCTTTTAACTAAATCAAACAAAACACACAGTGAAAAGGGAAAAGAGACAATAGATTCAAAGCGAGATGCTAGAGAAGAGATGGATTCAGAGAAAACCGTACTTGGCCAAAGATCGGAACAGAAGGTGAAGGTGAGGTGGGAGAAATCTCAACCTTGACGTTGTGTTCTTGTGCAACGCAAAGGTGATACTTCACGTCCAACATGGGAATGCTCTGCTGACAGATAATTTCCGCTTCCGCTACCATCTTCTGACTCACGATCATCTTGAAACGCCGTTTTTCAATCTCGTTCGAAATCACCACAAAGATAATAATGACTAGGATTTCAAATTTTGGAATTGAATTTGAAACGTTCCAATTTGGGGAGTGAATTGGGGCTTTCTTTGAAGAAGAAGAAGAAGAAAAGCAGTAACAAAATTAGGGTTTCTTTTTCTGTGTGTTTCTCTCTGTGTACCTGCTATGGAATCCGCGCACGAACTTAAAGGGTGCTTAAGTTGGACGCGCTTTGTAAGCACGTCGGTGCCCGGGGGATGAAAAGGCAATAATACCCCTGGTAAGTGGTTGTAATATCTAATCTGATTGGAGATGGAGTTCGTGAATGCATGAAAGGACAGAAATAGCCTTGTATTTGCTTCCGATCAACGTTAAGTACCCACAGATAAATGTTTAACTTTGCGGCTAAGCTCTTGTCCACGTAGACTTGTTAAGGTTGCGTATAAGTAAGTAATTATCATTAGCATGATTTATTATACCTTTCATCACTATTAAGTAAATAACTAACAACCACGTCAAAAGATAAAACAATATTTATATATTCCAATGTTATCGGTATCTTCTTTGCAACCTCATATTCAAATTCATCTGATGCACATATGATTAACTATAGAATAGCATCTATTATATATATCTATAATTCACAGTTTCATGTAAATTCCATTCAAATAGTATTATTAATTATTAATTAGAAAAAAGAAGAAGCTACGTATAGCTTCGATTTCAATCTTACTCTTAAGGCAAAATTATTAATTATAAAGTACCTTTCCGTTTATGTTGACTTTGCTACTAACTCTGCCCATTCTATTTCCAACAGATTGTCCCCCAACTTCTCACTTTTACAAACATTTTACTGCACTTCTACTTTATACAATAAATATTAAATAAAAAATACATACATTTATTATTTTTGAAATATAAAAAATATTTAATAATTTATTTATTAGTAATTAAAAAATTAAATTTATTCTTTTTAGAATCATTTACACTTTCTTTAAAGACAATTTAAATGAAAGTATTTAGCTACTTTTATTACTATTTTTTTAATCAAAATTAAAATCTTACCTCAATAATATACAATAACATTAAGTGTTCACCTTTTATTGAGAATAAACTAATTTTAATTAAAAAAAACATAAAAACTACTTTAAAAAACTGTATTTAATTTTTGTGCTTTCTTTAATTTTAGGCCACAGGCTGTGAGTCACCTTGTAAGTTCTAAGCATCTTCTTGAATTTTTGTGAGATTTCTTTAAACTTTGTGTGGAAGTTGATTTTTGAATTAAATAGTTAGTTATATTTAAAAGTTTTTAAATAAGAGGAGAAAGATTTATATACCCTTTAAAGTCTTCTTAATCATATATTTTTAAGTTGGAAGTTTTTGTATTAATTTCTCTTTTTCCTCTCTTTCCTTCTTCCCTTTACCTTTCAAACTCTTTTCTTTCTCTTTCTCTTCAAAACTCTCAAACAAAACTTTTAAACACACGCAGCGTTAAACTTTTAATGCAGTGCAGCAGTAGTATTTATACACATACTGTAGTAGTATTACAACTCACAAGCAAGTACGATTATGTAAACCAACTAACCAAATAATTAATTGAACAAAGCCTCATCAATGATAGAAGCATAACTGTACAAGAACAACTAGGGTGAAACATCAAATAAACCATCTTATTAGGAATTCAACCACTTCAATTCAGAACTATTGTTCAAGTTTACATATGAAAAATGTGTCCCGCTAGATTTGTCTTTTGGGCAACAAAAGTTAGGCTAATTTGTGTTTCTGGTATCTTAAAATACTAGGATTTTTTTCATCTAGTCTTCCATATTTAAAAGTTGTTATTTAGTCCTCAACAAAAAATTTCATTCCCATGGAATCCTATCAGGCTTCCGTTTCTTTTGTTGTGTTATGTGACTAAAATATTATGGACTAAATAGGAAGCTTGTGATATTTAAAAGGAATAAATAAAACAAGTGGCAGTAGTGGTTTAAAGAGGGACTGGAAAGTAAACAAAAACATCAGTTATAGGACAAAACTGATGGAAAATGAAAAAAGGGGCTAAATGGAAAATGAAAATGTTTTAAAACACTACATTATAACTTTTTAAAGACGGGACTAAATCAGAAAGGAAAATGTTGAGTTAAATTTAAGCAACTAATAATCGTAAGAATTTATTGAAAAAAGAAGTATTTATTATACCTAAATATCTTCAATACAACAAATATGCTCTTTTTAAATAGAAACTCACTTTTGTAGATGTTTAAAGACAAGGGTGACAAAACCTAATCACAAAATCAGGATACTTTGAGGTACCAAAAACAACATTTATCTTATAAATTAGTATATGTTTTCATTTTATTTTTCCAGTTATCCAGAATTTAATTGCTCAGTACCAGAATGCCATAAGCAAGCAGAAAATATATTACAGGTACTTTCATGCAAAATAATTTTAAGTGTTAAACTAACTCTTTTGACTGAAATGATTATAATGAATGAATAAATCAATGAACAATACGATACAAAATACGTGTAAGATGATTAGTGATAACAAACATATATATATAACCTAAACATTTAAATATGCTCAAACCTTGGAATCGGTAGAGTTACAACTAAAACATGGATATCTACTCACAGCATACTGGCTGGTGTTCTTTCTGCAGTTTCTCCCAAAGGCATAGCACCATCCTGGGGCTTTGATAATGGGCAAGTACATAATTTGATTCACATCCAGCATTGTAAAACCTCTCATCATTCACATAATGCACTTCTTTACCACCATTCTTAAACTGTTCAATCCATATGCCCATGGCAACATCTTCTAACTTAAAGAGCTAAAAATAATAATAAAAAAAAGGAAATTAAATAAAGTTGATCTTACATTAACAGCGATTGAAAAGGGAAAAATAATACAGTTCAAGTTTGTATTCAATAAAGACATATATAGCAGGGTGAACATGAGAATAATGCAATGATAATACTTGTTTATGTCTATTTAAGTTCCACTTGATTTTACAAGAGTCCCTGGGAAATTGTTGATGCAGGTGTGAATTCTCAATCCCAATAATCAAGTATAGGATGAGCAACCGTTTTAACACTTCTAAAAAAATTAAGCTTAAGAAGCATATCCTTCAATTATCCAATAGATTCTATAATAAGGACATAGTTATTTTAACTCCCATCCCACCGAGGGAAAGAAGAAGAGATTCTTACCTTGAGTTTTCTTTCCTGGTGTCCATGAACAATGAATTTTGCTATGTCTCGAGAGATAACATAGCCAGGACCATGTGCCCATGGTGGGTATGTATCGTGTGGCCATTCCTAAATTGATAATGATAATAAATAACAAAATGAAATTTGAGGTGGAAAAATGTTAATGCAATTTATTTATAGCATTATACAGACATCAATACCTCCTCACTGATGTACCACTTGCTGCCTTTGTCCCTCTGAGGAGATGATTTAGATGATATGAGACCATACAAGAGGCCTTCAGATGGCTTTCCTTTAATGCTGGAAAGCACTTCATCAATCCTAACAAAAGCATCATCGTCTGTTTTCATGATGTATTTAGAAGGGATGATTTTTGTCTGCAATTTAAATAAACAAATACTTATCAAGCATCTCATAGAAAGTAAAGACCAAAGGAAGAGAGAGGGTACACAGACTACCACAATTTTTAAATGCTATATTTGAAAAAATTAAAAGATTGAATCATTATGGTCTTTGAAGTAGTTACAACCAACTTAGTGATTGGATCAACTGATGAAAATCATCGCTACTTTTTCTTGATTTCTTGATAATGATGTATTATAAAATATCAGCATTTTTAATGTGTGTCTTTGGATACAATAAGAAATCAATAAATAGTAAGCGTTTATTGAAAAGTATAGCATTCAATGATATTAATGCATTAGATTGTGTGATTTTTAATAAAATTTTACAATATATAAGTTCTTATCGTGTACCCAGCAAGCACTAGAAAAACTGAAAGCATTGGTTACGGTAAGAGACCGGAAGAACTTTGTACCATTCTATCTTATGCGGTAAGCAGTTGACTCAATAATTTGACTAGCAGATAAGCAATAGCAATTCTAATATATTCTTTGCATGACACCTAAATGAGCTTACCCCCATAATGCAAATTGCAATTGTCTTCAAAGAAATCAAACTATAATAATCCACAAAAGGCATTAACTGAATATCGCCATATGCTTGAGCTTCAGTCCATAACTCAAAATTAACGATATTGTTCTTGTGCTGCAATCAAATAAAATCAAATGTCACCCAACAATTTTTTGATAAAATAGGAAAATATGGAAAAAAAAAAAAAACTGCTGTAATGCATGTGCTTGATCAAGTCTACAACACAGCAGTTGGCGGGTTCGATCATTAGAGTTCAGCAGCTTTGATTTCAATCTTTGCCAATCACTATTTTCTTGTGCTAAAATAAATTATCTGATTTGTTTTAGTAATGAATCCAACTCAAGCATTCAAATATTACAGCCAATATCCCAACCATTTCATATTGTCATTCCACATAATGTAATTTCTTGAGCATATTCCACCTAACTATCTTAGAGGGAGTGGAAAATTTGAAGAAAGGTCCCCAGCTGTACTACACTACTTTGTAAAGTGATTTATTAAGACTTATAAAATGATGCCAACGGCTTGACTTTAAGAACCATTGACCGATTATACATATAACAATGATGAACAGTAAATTCAGAAATTACACGTCACCAATTTCATTTATAGTTGTGCATAAACTAGAATAAGAATTATCCTAATGTAGTTTCACTTAACAAGTTAGAAATGCATTGCTTACAAGCCCAATGAAAAATCTGACAGCAACTTCTCCAGAACGTACAGCCTCATATTGCATCCAAGACCTCCTCAGGGCCATGCGACGCTGAAAGTTGTTTCCGGTAGAGAATACTCCAATCAACAAAACAAGCCTCTTTCTGGAGATAGAAGGAGCCTTCAGACTCTCAACATCAATAACTATATCATTATCTTCAGTAACAGGTAAACCTGTAGCCAGGGTTGATAAGAGACTTAAATTGCCTGTTACTTTAATGCTGCTCACTAACCATGGCTCAAGCTTCTGCATCCACCAAAAACTTTAAATGGTTAAAATGGCCATTCCTATTTAAAAAATTTGTTTTTAGCAGTATTTATCTTCCCATGCCATACCTCCCTATATGCAAACGATGTCTCGTGCCTTCCATTCACGGTCATATGAAATCCCTCTGAACCAACCCACAATGTTGCAGTGAAAGGATTACCCTCAGCAAAGGGGAAATTAGCCATTCTATGTGCACTTTCTGAGGAAATGTTAGAAGTTATATCACTAGGAGGTTGACCAACATTTACTTTCCCTTCATTGTTACTTCTGACAACTTGTACATTGCAGAGAACAAGTCCGTCAACTACAACATACAGTTAGACAATTTAGAATTTACAGAAAGCCTCCCTCTTAAGCAACTGCACTCAAGAATAAAAAAAGGGAGCATAAAAACACTAAATAAAAGAGATTTTTGTTATTAATTATTACAATATTAGAATCTTGTAATCTTAGATGCTTAAGCAAGAAGTGAGGTATTGCCACTGCAGCCATACGCTGTTGAGGGAAATGGTGTTTATTAAGACATTATCTGAGTTTGAGTAATAAATTTATCATTTTACATCCACTACAACAATAAAAAGATATTTCATGTTAAAAAAAAACTTTCCCCATGATTATCGCATGCAAAATATATTAATTTAACAATTAAAGGTCTACGGCTGATCATCACTTTTGATGATGAAAAACTTTTGGTTATAAATGAAAACCTAACTAAACATACCTTCTTGGATGTTAGCTGAACCACGAGCTGGACACTTTTCCTCTTTTCCCCACCCAAAATCACTCGTCCATGTATTTTGAACAATATACGGTTCCTCTGTCATGTTTTCTCCAGGAAGATTCACATTATAATGCAAGATAATTGGAGGATTTGGCTCCTGTTCTAGTTCTTGTCCAGCAAGGTCAATCTGGAAGCCTCTATATTGTCCATTAGGAATGCCAATCAGTGTAATAGACGAATCCACAACCAGACCACATGGGAGATCAAGAGTGATTCCACTATCTTGTACATCCTTACCAAGTGTGGTCACAGAGAATGGGCATTTTTTAATATCTGGGCCATCAATCTTATTAATCATAGAGGCTTTGTCCTTTTGAATAGTGGATAGCAACTCTTTCCATGCTATAGAAGCCTCTTTAACTCCTTGAGCAGTTTCAGGCAAAGCATCTGACCACGACAGCAAGGAATGTAAGGAATCCCAAATAAGCACAGCATTCATCTCTCCCTCAGATAAACTTTTTATGTCATACAGATCATCAAGCCCTTCAACATGCACCAAATGTGGCCTTTTTGTTGGTTTTGGTACCCTTTTTAGTTCCACCTCAGAAGAGTTTACCAGAAGATTGATGTTTCCATTAATCGAATCATCCGGTGTATGGTTATTGAAGAAACCGTATGCTGACTGTTTTGCTGATTGCTTCTGTGGCTGAATTCCTTTGAGGCTGTAGAGGAGAAACAACATCACACCCAGAGCCATTATCAATAAGCCTCCATACCACTTCTTCATTTTCAGTAAACCTTGAAATAAATATAGGCGTTTCTGCATGCACATAAATTGTATATAAAATGAATAAAATGAGTCACGCCAGCTATTGGATAAAACAAAGAATGAAAGCTATTTGACAGTGTTCAATTGACATGATCTAATCCATGGAGCAGATCCAATGACTGTGCTGAACTATCTCATTAGCCCTCAGTTTATGCCATTTTGCAACAGATAATATGAGAAGGGCCACGTCTAGTTTTTCACAACTCATCTACGGGACTCCCACACCTTAATAAGGTATGGAATATGAGCTGATGAACATTGAGAGTAACCTATTTGCAACCTAGTGTTCACTTTTCGGAATAGAAAGAAAAGGCAAGAAGTGAATAAAAATATACAATTCAGATTATTGAATCTTAATTGACATGCTTTGACAACCAAAGTTTTTCTTTTTAGGAAAAAAATAAACTTTAACTGTAGGGCTACTTTTGGTTGAATTATTAGCTTTAATGTAGCAAAGTTAAATGCAAGTAAAGGCTACCCGTATTTGATTTTCTAATCTTAACACCTTAAGTTCTGTATAGCAAAAACGAAACAACTCTCCAAAATATATCAGGATAAAGCCCCCATTTTGTTCCTTTATTTTTTAATTATTTTCCCCACCGAAGCCTAGAAAAGCGCAAGATCCGCAAAAATTAATCCCCACACATTTTAGGGACATAAGAGCGATGTTAGTTTAAATTAAGCAGTTCAAAGAATGGAAGACAAAGAAAAAAGATATGAAGGTGGTGGAGACAGCTGAGACGCACTTCACTCACCATTGAAGGCTGCAAAAAGCTTCCAAGTTACGGTGACACTGTAATGTTGATGCTTGTATTCGTCCATAGCATTACCATTTTCTTATTTCTCACTACAACTGTTACTGTATAAAATAGTATGATATTTATTTATTATTTAGTAATTTAATGAACAAAAGTAGCTTTCGTTCGTTGAGACTTCGGAACCTAATGTAACAGCAACAACATGACCTTAGACGACGTCGTCTGGATTTAGGACAGTGCACCGCTGATTTAGCTATTTTCATGTTGTCGGAATCTGAACGACCTTGGCTGGTTTTGAAACCTAAACAACCTAAGTAGTATTAATAATAATTTAGTCTTAAATGTAAAAGATTTTAAATTATTTAATAAGAACTAAGAAGATGTAAATAGTTATATTAACGAAATTAATTTTTTTAATAAATTAAATACTTTTTAAAATTATTGCAATTCATTATCTTGCTTTTTTATATATATAATTCATTATTTTGTGACCACAAATAAAATTTAAATAGATAAAATAAATATAAAGGATTAAAAAGATATATTTTTCTTGATAATTACAAGAATTAAAAAGAGTTTCTTAATGCTTACAAGAGAATAAGTTTAACTAAAGAGAGATGAAGACTTGTTAAGAAAATAGATTTTAGTTTTATTTCCGGAAGTGAAGGGAGGCTGAAAAAAACTATCGAAAAATTCATTAAAAGTCTATAAACATAATTCTGATTCAACTTTAATAATATTAATTACAATATTATTTAATTTGTTAAAATATTATTATTAATGTTGTTATTCTATTATTATAGGAAAACTAGAATATATTAAATGATATAAATTAAGTGAAACAAAATTAATTTGAATCACTTTCACATTTTATCTTTAAAATAAGAATTTTATTACACGACTTAAACATATTTTTAGTTTTTATATTTTAGTAAATTTTTGATTTTAATCTTATCAAACATTTTTATAAATTTTGATTTTCGGTCCCCTAATATTAGCGTAGTCAATCATGTAAGATTTTATTTTAAGTAAGATTTTAATAATATACTAGTATTCAAATTTGTGTAAAGCACAACAAAATGATAAAAACAATATTTTTGGCCATTGTCAGAAGAATACTGAGCCAAAAATAAATGTACGTGAAATTGACACAAAAATGATTTGATAATTCCTTTTTGCATCAACTTTTTTAACCACACCATCTCTTTTGTTAAAAATAATTTTCTAAAATGTATTAATCGATTCCAAAATTTAAAATTTGAAAGTCACTTCGAAGGGGAGGTATAGAGAAATCTCCCATTTATCTAAACAAGAAACTCTGCATCATTTTTTTTAATTGCACCTCCCTTTTCTAGTTTGAAAAAACTATTCCAAAGTGTATAAAATACTTTTTCAAAAATATAATTTAAAAAATAATTTATGTAAATCACATTTTCAAAATTCAATTTTCCAAAAGCAATAAAAAGACCCTCTTTTATTGTGCCAAAAAAGAGGTGCAAATTTAAAAAATGAAAAGAACGAAAATAAATCCCCCCTTTACGTACAAATTGATCCCAAAATTTTAAATCATTACTATCTTCACATTTTTCTTACTTTCTTATCATACCAAAAACTACACTAAGAATATTTTGGAGTAATATCTCCCTAACTTCAAAGTTCTACTATTATTTAATTAGCAAAAAAACAGTTCTATTATTTGAAGTATTTTACTTCACTTATGAAGTTTAAATTTAATTTATTTTCAATGTAGAATTTTGCACCAACAAATAAAAAAATCACATTATCGTAGTATTTTTCACTTCCAGTAAAGATTCATAAATCAGGAAGCATCTTTTATCAATTTATAAAGAGATTGTATATGATTTTGTAAAGTAAAATTAAATCATAATGCACCCTATATTCCTCTTATACTCTGGGAATGCTTGCTTAGTCGAATCTGGGAAGAAATCACAAAATTTCTCAATCCAGTGAAGCATTCACAACATTTAAAAAATGCTTCCTCTATAACTCAAAAAACAAATCAGATCGTATTCCAACGTCGTGCAAAGCAGACGTACGTCATTGGCTTTTCCATATGAAACTTGAAAAGGGCATGAAGAAGACAACTAGGGTCCTATCTCAGCTCTGTGATTTTGTATATGTACAATGAAAACTATTTCATTCAATATTTTTTATACAAGAACTATTGGACAAGGGAGCGGCAAGGAGGGAATTGCCTCGATTGATTTTTCACCAATTCCCTTCAGCTAACCCTTATTATAGGGTGGGTATATGGTTCCAGAAACCAGTATTATCATCTCAATCCTGACATGGTGCTGAGGAAAATGCAAACAGTGAACCTTTCAAACTGAAGGGCAACTGGGCTCATTTCTGTTTGCTTTGGTTGAACGGAAGTCATCAGGTAGACTACTTGATTGTGTTGAACGTGATGAACAATGTACAGTCCTAGTGATTGGAACTGCTTCCAAATGTTGAGGAGAGAGGAGAGGGCTGTTGGGCGGACCAGGGGCAAACCCCTTCTTTTGGTGTTAAATCAACACTAGGGGCTTCAACAAGGGGTGAATATGGCTTTGTCGCTTTACTTTTCACTACTCCCTGAACAACAACGCAAAAGAATTTCACTCAGAAGTCAGCACTGAGTAATGTTGTGCATAAACATTGAGAACAGATATATGATACGTCAACATGTTTATGCTCTCGTTGAAAGTCAAAAGTTTTCCTGTGTCGGTTTAGACATGGTCAATAATTGATCAATTGTAGATACCACAAATAATAACAAAAAAAAAAATAAAAAATGCAAATGAATGCTTAAGGAAATACATCATGAAATAAAAGCATACCTTCGATACAGCTGGGCCGTAAGTATTCAATGCACGCTCAATTGAAGAGTAAACTTGAAGAGCTTGACGGGAATCAGGGCTGCATTTTATAATGCGAACGTTTTCTTTCGTATCCAATGATTTAGACTTCAGATATAAAATGAGCCGGGAAGGGGGAGCTTTGGGGTTGTCTTTTTTGCCATGTGACAGTTCCATCGTACCAAGGTCATCCCATAGAATATCCCACATTATTGAACATGGATCTCTTGCAGGGATGAACTTCCTCTGAGCAATAATATTGGATGGTTGCTGACAAGGACAAAGGTTAGATAAGCAACAGTTGATTGAAGAAAATGAGTTCTTATTCATTGTTCTCAATCATGAATACATACTTGCAATAATATGACTCTTCTATGTGTGACCATGAGGATTTTCCCTTTTGGAAGCATGAAGTGATCTTCATAAGCATCTGATAAGGCAAATTTTCCACGAACTTTGAACAAATCAACCTGACCGAAAAATGAACCTGATTCTGCCAACTGCAGTATGACCTTCATGACAGAAGTATGGCAATTGTTTAGAAATTGGGCAAAAGAAATTCAGAACACATACAATAACCACTGATTGGATAATTTGGTAATGCAGTACAGCCAGTAAATTCGACAGAAAAATATTTCCATAACAATGACCATCCAGGTAATTGAAAATCAGTCACTACCCCTGCTCAATATTTCCTGAAAACAACTAATGAAGCTCAAAATGGGAATATTAACAGAAGTTTTAGGTGTTGTTACTAAAGGTTTTGGTAAATTAATCAAATTGTTTAGTTGAATGCAGGTAGAATATACGTTAATAAAGAATGGTCAATGGGAATAGTTTGACTACAATTGCGAGGGCATAGATCATGAAAGTTAGACACTAGTTATGCTCTGCTTTTAAGGTCATAGCCAACGTCATAAATGGCCAGTAAAATAAACAAGATGAATTGAATCCTAAAACTGGTTATTAAACAAAAGTAATCGTCTGAAGTAGGATCCACAATGACATTCATACAAATACAATCTTAGCTTTTGCATTTCAGCCTATAAATATAGTATGTCAAAAAGCTTCACATTTTAGAAATGATTCCGAGTGAATAAAAGGTAATAATATCTCCTCTTTGATCTTCCCAAACATGGGTCTAAACACAATAATTCTGCCTGGTATTTCAATAAGAATAAGCTTTCTTTGTTTAAAAAATAATTTAGAATATTTTATAATTAAAAGTTCCCAGTGTTTAAATAATAAATGAACTCCAGGTTTGCAATAGCAAGTTGAACCCATAGTACCTGTCCTTGAGCTTTATACTCATCATATAGTTGAAGCAAATTATCACCACCTATAACACGAGGCAATCTCCTCCGGAGAAGTTGTTCATCAGAGGTTATAGCAGATGCAATTTTCATTCTCATAGCATTAGCACCTTCGGTTGTTTTTGACAGAAGATCCAGAACTCCACTCACTGGTTGTGCAGCTGCACCAATTATTCCCTTCCCAACACCCTGAACAAAACCCTCAACACCAGAAGATTTTGCTCCTTCAAGAGGCTTTGTTAAAATGCCAGTCACCCCTCTGAATAAACCTTTAGCTAATGCTCCACCTCCCTCTCTTATAACATCACCAAAATCCTCCACACCTTTGTTTTCCTGTCACAAAGTTATAGTAAGCATAAGTATTAGCATCCTTTCAAACCAGGACATCACATAGTAATAATCAACAATAACAACCATGCCTTATTTCACCAAGTGAGGCTACATGAATCACACAATGTCAATAAACTCAACCAAAGTCTCAAAAATATTATTAATCAATATATCTTTTTTAATAACTTTTTCTAAGATTCTTCTGGATCTCCCTTTACCCCATCTTACTAGATTAGAAGTTATGTTATTTACTTTCCTCATTGATGTCTAATATTATTATTATAATTAAAAATATTTTTAATTATAATAATAATATTAGACATCAATGAGGAAAGTAAAATAATAAGCTTCTCAAAATAATATTAAGAAACATTATTTTTCAAAGGAAGCACTTGGTTCTCTATATAAATTTTTTTTAAACAAGATAGAATTATATCATATTCACCTTCTCAAACCAATATACCTACTAAGTTTTATATTTATTCTATGATAATGAGCCTTATTAAAAAAATAAATAAAAAATCATATTTTTAACATTTTATATTATATTTTATGTTTAGTTTTTTAGAAGTGAAAAAATGAAAAAATTTCAATAATAC